TTATTGTTATCATTCTTATTAAAAATGAATCAAATACTTTTACAAAATATTTAAAATAAAAACAAGTTGGCCCTCCAAAAAAATAATTAAAAAATAAAAACATGTCATGTTTAATGCATAATAAAAATGTTCCATTCCATATCAAAACATTAAAAAAAAAATTATAACTTTATCTCCAATGACTCCATTGCTTATAAAACAACATACTTAAAGCAAATCATATTTTCTAAACCCTCATGATCATATGAACTAATTAAGACATTATATAAGATCCATTATACCAACTAAAGCTTCAATTGGTCAAGTGTCCTTTAGGTCAAAATAATATTACCTAACACTGGAGTGGGGAAGAGGAGACACACCATGTGGCTGAGCAGCTATAATGATATCCAACCACTGCCACTTTGATAGCAAAAGTCACTTCAATGAACAAAGCCTCTCATCTTTCTTCCTTGCTTGAAATAAGAAGAGAAATGTGATGTGAAAATTCATGCTGACAACTATTCATGCATGAATATGGATGCAGTTGGCAAAGCTTTGATACCTCCCTTTCATTCTCCTATAAGTAAGATATTTGTATCAGGATATTTTTATGAAAATCTTAGTCAAAATAATTGCATGATTATTAGCTATGATTTACGATAAGTTTAATGTGTAAATATTTTATATTGGAGTTATTCTAATATAAATTATTGATAGTGTGATTGAATATTAAGTCTTATTTGGATTGAACTACAAAGCTATAGTTAATGCCAATCATAAGAGTGTTGGAAGGTCAATATTTAAGAAAAAGGAGAAAAAAATGAAGGAAGATTTACATGCATCCATGGAATTCAATTGACATGTAATTACATATCTAACATTTGAATTTAAATTTTTACATGCATACCGCCTTCCTATGCATGAAAATGTGTATTCCACTTTCGAAAAGTTAACATGGCGGTGGTTTTGACGTGAACTGAAAATTTTGGTTGATATATAGATATAAAAAGACAAAGTGTATTGTGTTAGATATTTAAATACATAGGAATTTGGTGGAATGTATGTGAATGCCCCAAAAATATAATAATAAAACTTGATTTATAAAAATATTAAAAAGAAAAAGAAAAAAAGAACAGAACAATAAAGCTTGATTTGTGCATATATTAAAATAAAAGGGAGCAAAAGATAAAAATAAAAATAAAAGTTTACTTGATTTATTTAAAAAAAGAGAACTCAAAATCAAAAAGTTCTTTAAAAAAAAGAACTGAAAACCAAAAAAACATAAGGAAGTTTGCGTTTGCTCCTGCCTTAGGAAGCCTTCACTTGATTTATTGGGATCAAAATGTCACTCATTCGGTTTAACCTACATATAGGGATTTAAAAGGTAAAACAAAGCTACACAAAAAGAGCTACAAGAGAAAGAAAGGGTTAGCCACATAAATGGCTTCATAAAAAAAATTAAAATATAAAATAGCAATAAGTATAAAAACATATAATACTTTAAATCAAATATTAACAATACCCAAATTAAATTAAGTAATAAAATACTAAAGCAAATTTACCATTTTCTCCTAACACCCCCTTAACTTAAAAGGTCTACCTACCTGAAGCAGAGTTGTGCAATGTTGGAATTTGGCTCTAGACACTATCTTCTTAAGGATATCAACAAGATTCTCATATATATAGACTTTCTAAATTTCCACAGTACCTTGAGTAAGAACATCTCTGATAAAATACAAACTTAAATCAAAGTGGTTTGTTTTTTCATGAAAAATCTAATGCTTTATCAATTGAATTGCACTATGACTATCACACCAGATTATATTTTTCATTTCTTTGCTCTTACAAAACCTTTGTTTTAGATGCCTCTATTTATTGCATTAGTAGTAGCCATATATTATGCTTCTAATATAGGTAAACCCACAACTGATTGAAAATTTTCTTTCCAACTAATAAATTTCCATAAATTGTAGATACATAACTAATCAAAGATTTGCATTTGTCCAAATCTCCTGTATAATATTAATCCACATAACTTGAAATTTTCACTTTGCCCAAGTTATCCTTTAAATACGTCAAACCAACATATCAACTAAACCTCTCAAATAGATGAAAATCCACTTAGCAACCCTCCAATGTTCTCTCTCAACTTTAGCTATATAAGTGCATGTCATATTAGTAGCATAAGTTATGTCTGGATTGATACAAACTATAGAGTACATGAGACTTCCAACAACACTAGCATACAAAACATAATTCATATATTTTTTATTTTTTATAATTGATGGTAATTAAGTGACTGAAAGTCTAAACTATGAACTCGAAAGAAGAAGAATCTGATTTGGTCATATCCATTTCAAATTTCGTTATAACTTTCCAAACATAATTACAACGAGACAAATAAAGTAATCCTTTCTTCATGTTCCTTATTATATATGTCCTAAGAATACGTCTGACCAGACCAAATCTTTCATCTCAAAATGACTAATAAATAAAGTCTTTAACATTGTTATCTTTTCATTGCTATCACTGAATATGAGCATTTCACGACATACAAAAGCAAATATATAACATTGCTATTTGAAAATCTTATGTAGTAAACACACATATCATAATCACTTTTTTTTTAAGAATTGTGAATCATGAATAACTTAAATTTCTTATACCATTATTATGGAGACCCCTTTAACCTATAAAAAGATTTCTTGAGAAGAAAAAAATTATTTTTGGACCAGATTTTATATATCCCTCTAGATGGATCATGTAAAAAAGTTTCCTAAATTTCTCAATGTAAAAAAGCTATTTGAATATTCATCTATTCAAGCTCTAGTTTAAATTTTATTGTCATTGATAAAATTATTTAATCAAAATAAACTTTACAACAAGTGAGGAAATCTCATTCAATAGATTCATTCTTTCTGTATGAAACCCCTTTTCACTAACCGATCCTTATATCGAACAATCTCAACATCTAAAATAACAATTTTTTTTTTGGTAAATCTAGCCAACAATTTTTTTTTTCAGTGGTTTGTTAACAAATTCCCAACTATGATTCTTTTCTTGTAATTTTAGCTCTTCATCCATGACATGTTTTCAAAAATTTCCTTCATCACTGTTCATTGTTTCCTTGTATGACCTCGGCTCATCTTCCATAATTTGTTTGGTAGTATTAAGAGTATATATAATTAGATCAGCAAGTATAAGATATTTAGTCACTCTTATATTTCCCCTTTTTTAATCCATTGCAACATCATAATTCTTCAAACCAATCTGATCTTGTTGAGTGACATTTTCTATTTGATGATCCCGCTTATTGTTTTTTTGTTGGAAAATGCTCCATCTGCAACTGATCTTTATCACTTTTTTACTATGAATTCACTAAAACCTCAAGTGCTAATTATTGTACCCTGGTCATTTCCAATAGTCCAACTACCTTCACATCAAGCTCATTAACGATCACATCTTTATTTATAATACACTTTGATTTATCTGATAGCCAACATCTATAACCTTTTACTCTCTTTGAGTACCCTAGGAATAATCACCTTTGCACCTTGGTTCCAACTTTTCTAGATTCATATGAATATACACTAGACATCCAAAATTTATGAGATTACTGTAATATGCCATTTTACCTACCCAAATTTTCCCAAGAATTTTAGTTCAAGTGTTGTAAACTAACTTTTATTCACTAAGTAATAACCAATGTTAACTACTTCACACCAGAAGCTCTTATCCAATTTCACAAATTATAACATTTAATTAACTTTTTCAAGCAAAGTTTTATTCATCCTCTCAACAATACCATTGCGTTATAGAGTTAATCTTACTATCGTATGTCAAGCAATTCCATTATTTCTACAAAACTCAATAAATTCTCTGTTAAGATAGTCTATACCATTATCTAACCTGAAAATTTTCTTTAAATCTGTTTTTTATTCAAAGCTTTCCATTACTTGAACATCTTAGAAGCTTCATTCATACGCTTCAAAACAAAAAAAGCCTGACTTTCCTTGAAAAATCATTAATGAATGCCATAAAATATCTACTTACACCTAAATTTGGAATAGGTGTAGGTCACCAAATATCTGAATGTATATAATCAACAGTTCTTTTAGTAGTCTGTTGTTCTACATTAAACTTTATCTGAGTATGCTTCTTAAAGACACAATATTCTTTGAAATTATTCTTATCCACATTATCTTTAACAAAGACTCCTTGTTCACCCAACACACCCAATCCCTTTTGACTAATTTTATATGACCTTCTTATCTATTACATATGAAACATCTATTGAAGTTATCACAGTATTTTCCAACAATGAGAATAAACCATTCAGACTTTTACCCTTCATAATAACTATCGAATCTCTAATAATCTTCAACACACCACTTGCAGCCTTGAATGTGCATCTTGGAGCATCGAGAATACCAAAAGAACAAATTCCTCTTAAATCCCCGACATATGTCTAACTTCAGTGAGAGTTCTAATAACTCAATAATCTATTTCAATTCTCACATTTTCAATTCCAACGACTTCCAAAGCTACATTGTATCCCACAATAACCCTCTCACCATTGAATTCTTTGTATCTTACAAACCAATGCTTATTAGGAGCCATGTGAAATGAACAACCTGAATTCACTGCCCAATTGTTAGTTTTAAAATCTATCGTGAATAGTCAAAACATTTGAGCCTACAAACTGATCAAACACAAATGAAGCATTTCCAAATTCTCTTGTTTTTCTCAATTTTTCTTATTCCACAATTCTTCTTATAAGTCCTTCCTCATGACATGTCGAAATTTAAGATAATAATAGCTTGATCTTCATCTTTCACTTTAACCCCAAGGTTTTTAAAAGTTTAAATATTGATTTTTTATGTGATATGAAATATTTTGGTGGTATAAATGTAAAAGGAAAAATTTAGATGTTAGACATGTAAATACTAAAGAATTGGGTGTTATCTATGGAAATGTCCTTTTTTGAATTTCTGATTTATGGTAGTTATTAAATCAGCCAAACAGCCTGAAGTCGTAAAAACTACAAATTTTTTAAGGTAGAGAAGCCGCGCCGTGCTGCCCGCTAGGGTTAGGTTTCCATTGCCGCCGTCCCTGCGAGTACGGCAACACAAAAAAATGGTAAATTTTGTTATGCTCGACCTCCGAAACCTCGTCAAATTTGTTTATTTTATAATCTGGCATCTATTGATTTGATTTTTTCGTTTTAGCCATCGCACAAGAGCTTCAAGATCAAGAAGAAGCTGGCAAAGAAGATGAGGCAGAACAGGCCCATTCCTTCCTGGATCCGCATGAGGACCGGCAACACCATCAGGTTTTCTCGTCCTTCATGATCGCTTTATTGTTGCCAGTCAGGATTTGGTGGGGATTTGTCTCATCTGCTTGTTTTTCTGTTCAGGTATAACGCGAAGAGAAGGCATTGGCGCCGCACGAAGCTAGGGTTTTGAGGGCCCTTTCTTCTTCATTCGATTGCCGTTTTGCCTTTTAGGTTCCTCCCATCAATGAAACCTCTTCATTTCATTCTGTTCCAGTTCACGGAAACTGCTCTTATTTTTCGTGATTTATTGTGGATTTAATCAGAATTTGATATAGTATTTATTTTTGAAAGGAATTTGTTTTCCTGTTTCTGCTTTATTATTTTCAGAGGATTTTCTGCTGATGCAACCAACTGCAGATAACAATGCATTGTTTAATTGTGGGAATGTCATCCCAGAATGAGTTTTTCTTATTGATACAAAATAGTCGTTTTTCTAGGACTGTTATTTATGAGAGTTACTGAATCTGCTATCAACATTGTCAATTATTCAAAACATGATAAATGACATGAAAGATCTGACTCCTTGATTGTTGTGGCCACCACCTTCAACCTAAGCAACCTTCCTTGATTAGCGACCATTTTCTTGATTGAAGGAACAAAATCAGTGATGATAATATCATACAACTACATTTATTAAATAGTACTTCAACTTAAATCAATTTTTTTATTTGAAACAAGGTTCAAAAAAGATTCAAACCATTCTTCTTAATTGAATTGAAATGTAGGCTTCCATTTGAAGTGTGTGTTTTGGATTCAAAAGATAGAGAAGTCATACAATTATGAAAGTTTGAAGCAAATAAAGCTCCTAAAATACATAGCCTTAATTAATGAAAGACGTTATAGGAAAGCATAGAAACTCTGAAAATTCAAAAAGAAGTTTGGAGTTAAAGAAACACACATTGGGTGGAAATAAATTTGCAAATATTCTGTGATGTGTGAAAATCAAAATCATTATTATCATTGTATGACCAAAAGCCCTCTAGCCAGATTCAAAAGAAGAGTCATCCAAATTGTCGAACTAGCATAAACATCTACTGTAATCAACTTGACCGAGCAGTGCAGCTCAAGGGACATGACAAAACAATTTACTCATGTTATCGAGCAGAGTTAGTTAACTGAGATGACACAATCAATTCACGAAAGTGGTACACTTGATTGAGTGGTAATAACGAGCTTGATCTTAAACTCCCACGCTAGTTTGATAGATCTCCCCTACTTACTGAAGCACGGACTAGGCTTATAAAGCTATTACTGAGTAATTATTTACTAGAGGGGAAGTACTCATGAGGAACAAGTCGTTATATGAATATTATAACATTTAATACAGAAGAAAATAATGAAGATAAAACATATATCTCTTAAATTTGCAGGTCATAGTTCTATTACTTGCAATACTCGTAATATATGAGCGAACCTATCTATGAATAATGGGGCCCATTATAGAAAAAAATGGATTGATCCCAAAACTTTGTATAAGATTTTTCTTTTAGCGAATCATTGCTCTGTTATTTAGTTGATATCTTTCTTTGTATCTCTATCGTTGGGTGTTACAAATCATTATCCAATAATCAACATCACTAGGATGATTGTCTAAAGAATCATTGTGATATTTACTAGCTCTATCATTATTCCATTCTCTTTTTTTATTAATTCAGCACTTGTGCTTTATTCTTTTCAATACCAAGATTATTATAGTAAGCACAATTATAAAAAGGAAACATTAAATAATGGTTTATTACATGTTTCGTAAGGAATTATTTTACCAACTTTTCAAAGCATTTGATGTTCGACCTTATTTACATTTGATGGATCTCGGCAAACTTTCTCTTTGATTACTTAAGCGTGATAAATATCAGCTTCTTCATTATTTTTTGATCTGGCTCCGCTTTCTTTTATTTCCTTAACTCTTATTGAAAAGCATCCATGTCCTACGTTCATAGCCATCTTTCTCCATTGCAAAAATATGTCTCAGCTCAGGCAAGAATTCCCTCAAAATAATTGATTTCTTTTTTAAAAGATCCAAAACCCAATCATCATAAATTCCTCAAAATTTGCCTCAAACTGCCTTTTTTTAATGGAATATGACACCAAGGTGTTACAAGATTACCATCATGGTGCTGCATTTTGGGTAGCAACCTGTGAAAATTTCAGTTTGGCTCCTTGGCGTTAACACTTTGCCAAAATTTTATGGGCTTGGAGTTTGGTGATGTGCTTGAGCTAATGCTTTGGTGTGAGACATTAATGCCTGTGCTCCGAATGTTGGTGCTTTCATTAGTTACTTATTCAAGGAGTGGGTGGCAAATTTAGGGCGAGTGCGGCGCTTTGCAGTCAGGTTATGCCTTTGATGCCAGTGTTGCAATATTTCAATAAGCTCAAAATATTTTTCAAATGATTGCCTATTTTGCTCCATTATCGCGTTATATCCAAGTGCACCTCGCAAATAACAGTGAGCTTAAGAATTTGATGAGTTTCAGCACTATCAATTGTTTTCAATTAAATGCAAATAAATTCTTGAAAATCTGTGGAAATAACGTGAAAACACAAACAATAAATCGTGGAATGCTATAAGAAATTCACCAATTAGTCAACTATATCTTTATTTAACCATAAGCAGCAGAAAAATTGTTTAAATTCTTAGTACTTCCTTGCATTTCCTTTCAGAATGTGTATTTTGAACTGTTTGCTTTCCATAATATTCTTTGCCGAATTCCTCTATGATCTTGAACTCTAATAGGAAGATATTTATTTATTAGCTATGTGAATGCCATATTTCTTTTCTCAGTTATTACATTTAGATATAACTTCTTCTCCATTTTTTATATCACTAAACACTGATTTTATCATATTTTATTCAACTGAATTCATCTCCTACCATATTTACTCCTGTTGGATGATATGATTTCCCAAGCGCAGAAATTGATTAATTCCAGCCAAGGATGTTGTCTCAAACTTAATTGTGTGAAAATTTACTCCGAACTTTGATGATATGTATCTTTTATTTGGTTCCATACAATTAAATTTTGCAAATACAACAGCCACAAATCAAAATAATTTGTGGAATTTTATGTGGCTTCTATTGCCGAGCTGTATATGTACAGCCTTTAATTTTTGCTTTAGCACACATTCTAGACCTTGCAGGTATTGGTTCTAATTTGACATCTATGTTCCTTTGCAGTGATGCATAACCATATACAGTAATTCAAATGAGATTTCCGAAATAATCGTTATGCATTGAATTTTTTTCATTGCTGTTGACTTGTTCTTCCAGTGTCATTGAGTCGTGTTCATAATATTTCATAATTTAGCACAAATGCAATGCAAATTTATTTACTGTTTTGCACCACTATGACAGTCTGCCCCATCTTCGTCTGAAACTTCTTAAATTCTTCAAATATATAGGCAGTCTGCTGGGTAACTTATTTTAGGTGCCTTTCCTTGTCCCTAAATATTATGACTTTAGAATAATATTTAATATATAGTACTCTTACAAGTAATTATTCTTCTTTATTGTAATTTTTTATATTACAATCCTTCATTGATGTTCAACAGGTAGATTGAATGTTTGGCTCTTGATGTGAGAAACCTATCAATACAAAAAGTGATCAGATTTGTTTTCAAACTAGCCCAATCAAGCACTTGAAGCGTAGTAGAAGGATTTAAGCCATTAATTTAAGAGTTAGCTCATGTCTTAATTTTACATGCTTATAATCTAATCAGGAATCTTGACAAAAAGACGAATCAAATGAATTCAAGCTCACTTTAAATCAAACATTATCATGCAATTCAAATATTGAGAGAATCTCATTATTGTTCGATTGATTGTTTTGGGATTTTCATACAAATAAGCTAAATGCTACTTCTAAATATATAAATAGGCTCAACTCTTTGTGTGAAGTGGGGCGGCGGATGGAGATTAGAATTTGAAGAAAGCTTAGGGGGTTGAGAATTCCTAGTGCCTTTTACCCAAGCACCGTCTTAGGATCATCGTCTGATTGTCTCTGTTTGACTTTTGTCATCAGATTACTATCATTCTATTGTCATCGTTTGATCGTTGTGAACAATCTTGTTGTCAATAGTTGATGCAAACAATTGCTTAAAAGACTAACACATGCCAACACCAGTACTAATGTTTGCTGATTTCATCACTTGCCATCACCAACATCGACACACCATTAGTTGTAAGACGATGCACCGATGCACTCTATCACTTACAAGGAAGATGTATGCTATGGATGCGCGACATTTTCTATAAGGCGGACGTCATTAATATTGATGCACATTGACTTCATTAGCTATTGTTATTTGTAATGTTGATGCATTTCATCAAAGAGAAGGCAAACTTCAACTATTTAAGAATATGAATTTATGTTTTGATGGAATTCTCATTCTTTGTGGTATGTGAAAAGTTATGCGTGTGTACATAACTAGTGTGCAATTTTTTTTATTTGTCCTTTAGAAGCTCTGTCTGCGTAGGTGTGTAAACGGGCCGAACACGAGCGAGCCCAAGCTCAGCTCGTGTTCGCCTGATTTATATTTCAAGCTCAAAAAGTGTGTTCATGTTTGACTCGTTTGCTTAGCAAGCCGAACACGAGCCGTTTACGAACAAATAGTTGTTTTGGCAACCCTAATCACTTAGTCATAAAATGTTAAAGGATTTAGACAAGATTTAAAACATCATTTAAATCTAATTTAATAATTTTTATTCCATTTTTTTAATCAGTACTTTTAATTGATTATAAATCTTTGTAGCCTTATAGTCAATTAAATTCTTTAAAAATATTACTCATCAAATATATATATATATGATTAGTATTTTTAAAAAAATTAGTTGACTACAAGGATACAAAGATTTATAATCAATTAAAAATATTAATTAAGAAAATGGAATAAAACTTATTAAATTAGATTCAAATGATATTTTAATATAAACAATAATTTTTAAATATTACCCCAACCCTTAACATCATATGGCTACAAGATTAGGGTTGTCAAAAAGACTCTTTG